ATCTTTTAAGTTAATCATGGAATTAAGTACTCTGCTGGCCAAGTGCTTAAGTAAATACTCTGATTTATTATCACAGTAATCTGATCATCCCATCCTGGTATCAGGCACACATTGTTTTAAAACCCTTCTGTAAACATGTGAGACAATGGATGCACTCTATTCTCTCAATAACAGAGACAGACAAAACATTCCCAACACAACTTCTTTCACTGAAAAATATTTTGCAGGTCCACCAAAACCAATCATAAATTAGTTTTGAACTGGCTGAATTGTTTAGGCAGAAAATGGAGAAAAAGTTGAGTGAAAAAGTGAAGGGATATCAAGCTAGCCAACATCTGCAACTATCCTTTGGGGTGATCCATCTCTCCAAATAAGCATGAAAGGTTGGCTGAATCGAGCAATGATATGGATGCTTCAGTGGCATATGCAGTTAAGTCAGAAACGGGCAGATCCAGAGGGGGTGTACTAATGCAGCTGCACCCCACTTTTGGATTGGAGTGCACCTAAAGCAGGTGAAACGCCCCCAACCCCTTCCCTTTAGTAGTCAGACACAGCTCTCCTCCCTTTTCCCCTTTCCCATCTACTGCTGCTGCTTTACCCTCTGTCCCGGGATACAGTGGAAGTGCTAGAACCATTTTTGCCCACCCCAGCTGGGCCTCATGGGGTTTGAGCTCAACTGGGGACAGGGACAGCACCAACAGTGAGATAAAAGCGTGGTTTTCTACTCCTTGCCTGCTCTCCCAGGAGGAAGGACCCCTTGGCTAATACCTGCTGCTGCTGTCCCATCCCCAACTTATCCCAGTCCCCATGCAGCCAGCGGGGGCAAACAGAAGTGGCTCTGGAGCTTCCCCCTTCCCTTGGCACAGCAGAAAAAGCAGCAGCGGCAGGTGGAGGAAGGGCAGAAGGGGAGCAGAAGGGATGTGCCTCTGAACACAAAGGAGAAGGGGGAGGGATTTTCACTTTCTTTAGGGACTTCAAAAAGTCTCTGGAGGCTCCTGTAGCACCTGCACTGGTGGAGGGAGGAGGCAGCTGGGAGTCTTGGGGATGTAACCACTCCTCCAGTGTGGGTCACTGCTTCCACACCCACTTTGGGAAGTCCTGGATCCACCCTGGTTAGAAAGATCTTCTGAACAGACTTACAAATACAAGAAAAGAAAAATATGGCTAGCATAAGCAAAACTGTTAAAAGTTGCTGGAACTGTGTGTTTGGGTTTGGATGCACTGTATTATGGTAGTAAAGTTGTAGCCTGGCCAGCTGTCTCAGGAAAAAAAGAAGTCTGAGTCAGGTTCATCACTGAACATATCCACCATAAAACAGCAAACACTGTACTGCAGACACAAAACTTTGTTCTTGGCCTACCTATGAAAATGAGGGTTAACAGCAGAAGTTCTGTGTTCTGCAAAGGTAGCCATTTCCAGAAAGCTCCAACTTTCCAATGTCTGAGGGTCTGGGTAACACAATCCATGTTCAAACTTGGTTTGTAATATTTATTAAGGCTTCGGCAGCTGTTTCGTTTTGGAGGCGTTTCAGCCCGAAACACCGAATCCGAAATGAAATGGAAGGCTCCGAAACAAAACCAAACCATCCGAAATGTTTTGGAAAATTTTGGAAAATTTCAGAGCTGAGCTTGCAGGAAACAGAAACTAAGAAGAGGAGGGGGAAGGACTGCTCTGATATTGACATCTGTAGCTGGCCAGTGTCTGCGATCTGTACCTGACATCCCATTCCAATCCCAGTGCTTTGGGGGAGGGACAGCAGTCTGCTGTCATCCCGTGTGTAGATCCAGGGGCCTGTGCCCCCCAGGAGGAGTCTGGCACAGCCCTGCAGCCCTCCTGGGGGGCACAGGCCCCCAAATGTGCAAGTGGGATGACAGCAGGCTGCTGCTGCCAGCTGGGGCCAGTGCCAGCACCCGAGTCTGCTTGGCACACCCTGCACCAAGCACTAGAAAGAACCCAGTGCTGGCACTGGCCCCAGCCAGCAGTGGCAACCTGCTGTCATCCCGCACGCAGATCTGGGAGCCCGCGCCCCTCGGGAAGAATCTAGCACAGCCCAGTTGCACTCCTGGGGGGCGCAGGCACCCGAATCTGCATGGGGGGATAACAGCAGGCTGTCACTGCCAACTGGGCCAGCACCAGCACCCAAGTCTGCTTGGTGCAGCCTGCCCCAATTAATTAAGAACCCAGTGCTGGCACTGGCCCCAGCCGGCAGCACTAGCCTGCTGTCATCTCACGTGCAGATCCAGGGGCCCATGCCCCCTGGGACGAGTCTGGCACAGCCCCGCAGCCCTCCCAGGGAGGCCCCCAGATCTGCATGCAGGATGACAGCATGCTGCAGCTGCTGGCTGGGGCCAGTGGCAGCACCAGGCTTCCCGGCGCTCGGTGCAGGCTGCGCCAAGTGCTGGTCCCAGCTGGCAGTAGCAGCCTGCTGTCATCCTGTGTGCAGATCCAGGGGCCCGCGCCCCGCAAGAGCAGTCTGGCACAGCCCCATAGCCTCCTGGGGGGTGGGTGCCCCCAGATTTGCGTGCAGGTTGACAGCACACCGTCACTGCCGGCAACTGATACGAGTTGTGCTTTGAACAGTTTGAGGTACAGTTTCACAGAAACTCCTGCACCTATCTCCTTCAAACTTGGCAGGCTTCATGCCCTTGCAATTGCCATCTTAATTGGGCAGGAAATGACAAAGTTATAGGCATTTTAGTGATTCCCCATTATAGCCTGTGGCAGAATCACCAAAACAGCATCAAAACTCCGAAACAGATTCGGCTGAATCAAAACGGAACAGTGATCCGAAACACCAAAATGAATCACTGTGCCTCTGAAATGGCCGAATTCAAAACCAAATCAAAACATAGCCGCTTCACACAGCCCTAATATTTAAAGTCATACAGCTTTTGCTCAGGGCCCTGTTCTTGCATGTTCATTCCACCACACACAGGGGTAGTTAAAACAACAAGCACTCGTACTTACCAAATTTTGGGACTGTAAGAATTCTTCAAAAGTAAGAGGAGGCTTTTGCATTTTCTATCAAAACATAAAATGTGAATTATTCTTACAAGAATTCCTTATGAAAACTATGACAAATTTTACTGAGCTACTGGTCTTATCAAATAATTAAAGTTAACACCATTTTATTTTCAATAGAAACCCATACATTAGTGTTAATGAACAAAAGACCCTATTTATTATCAAATTATGAGAAATATGAAAAAAAAAGTAGAAACCATGCAAGAACACTGTACCACTAAATGGTGGAAAATTATTTATTTTAACCAGTGTAATTTGAAGTCAAATATTTATAATACTTTTTAGTATACTGACAGATAAAATGCAATGTTTCTGTACTAGTAGTGAGGGCTTACCAATAAATCTGTTCTGTTCTTAAGTATTCAGTCAGCTCAGAAATTTTAAAAATGCCAGGTTTCCAAGTTAGAAAGTAGCATCACTGACATCAAACTACTAGCATTTCCTGAATTTAGTGCAATTAACTCAACTGTAATCTTTAAAAATATGCCTGAGCACAGAACAAGAAAAAGAATCAGCCTGGTTCAGATCAAGGCACAAAGCAAGGTACAAAGGATTTAATTAATCTAATCAATTTAAAAGTGTTTTGGCCTGATAGAAGTACCAAACCTTGACTACTCTTAATAAAACGCCACTCAGTATCAACCCCTTAGAGATATTATTCAAATGAAGTAATAGATGCCACCATTTAGTAAACTCTGATGGGGTGTTATTTTTTAAATGAAATTTAGTTAAAAAAAAAAAAGTGTTCTTCTAGAAACATAAACAAAAGCTTTTTTCACTTAAAAGTATGTATTGTAAAGTGAGAAATGTTAGCTCTTGAGCAAAGAAGCTTCAGTACTGTTTATCACGTTACAGAACTACTGGGCACGTCTACATGAGACGCTGACTGAGCAGTAGCCAAATATAACTGCACAGTAATGTGCCAAGCACTAACAGTGCTAACATGCTACTGCGCAGTAGCATCACTTAAAACACATTCGCCAGCACTACTGCGTAGGAACTCCAGTTATTGCACATTTATTAAATAAATGCACAACAACCACTGTGCAGTAGCATCTCATGTACAGGTATGTATATCGTTACCAATATAAAGTTGGGTAAAAAAAATCTAAATCCTGTGAAATGCAGCCATTTATTTTATTTACTGCAATATATTAGCCAACAAGAAAAACATGCCAACAAAAATAACATGGCATGCCAAAGGCAAACATAACAGATAAGCAACAGAAATCAAATTCTGTTGTCAGTACTACTGAAGTCAATGGGATTTTCTGGGTGTAACTGAAGTAAAAAACTGGCATAATAGCCATCTACAATGTTAGTATTTTGTCTAGAAACAATGCCTAATGTACCACAGACTGCTGCTTTATTTTATTTCACTGAGTCAGAAAAATATTCAGCATCCCAGAAATATTTTTGAGACTTAAGCCATTTAAATCTCACAATGCAATTGCTGAACATTTAAGAGCATTGAGTAGTTTCTTGTTTGAATAAACAATAAGCAGCTCAAATATGAGCTATTTTACTTGGAACTCACTCTAGTAATATGGTATTATTTATATCTAAATCTCTGTATAACTAATTCTGTCAGTCATTCAAAATGACAGAGGCCAATTTGCTCTAAAATCTTCGAAAAATTTGTCAAAGAACATAAGTATCATGAAAAATCCAGTACTCGCTATATTTGACTTGTAATACTGAAAACTTCTGAATTTAAGTCTATATTTTCAAGGCGCATGTATGAGTAACCAATGTATGGTAGAAAGGCAAAAGTCTGAAGTACTATTAAGCATAGTCCATTACAATAACAAACACCACAAACATTTCTACGATTGCTTTTATTTGCATTACTTTACAAATATTAATTTATTAGGTATCACACCTAAATATGTTAGTCAAGGGTATCAAATAATAATTTTGTGCAGGCAGCTGCTTTTAACTGGAACTTGGGTTCAATTTATCAGTGCACATAATGACAATGCAATAGTACAAGGCAACAATAATAATGCTAATAATCTTATAGCTAACGCAGCTCCCTTGCCAAAGAACTGAGGATGCTATGCAACACAAACAATTATAAAAAAACAATTTTAAAAAACTTTCATAAAATGGTTAGGTTTAAATTTTAAAAGGGAAAGTAAGGAACAGAAAAAATGTGAAGAACATGGGATGAATAGTTATTCAAAAAAAATTGAAAACAAATTAAAACAAAAAAATTTAAAATTCTTTCAAAATGAACTAGGACAAAATTAGGTTATCAAGGGAGCCATAGCCAACCACAGTGAAATTCAACGAATACGTAGGGATATATGGCTGTAACTAGAGCAAAATTTGAACTGTGTTGTAACTCTATACTGAAAGATGTGCAAATGATCAGAACATGAATTTCTTTAAGTTTAACCAAAATATTGCCTGGTCTGGCAAAATTGATGTGCAGCGCTATATTTAAACAGGTCCCACAAGTAGGATATTTCTCCTGCTTCTCATTGCTACAGGAAAGTAGAAGCATCCATTCCCATCGCAACTCTGTCCGTCCTCACTCAACATTATTCTTGCCATCCTACGTAATGGAAAGGGTTGGACGGTTATCCTTGACCTGATGTTTCAGGAAACTGGTGCAAGAAACAAGGTTGATTTTTGTTTTGTTTTGTTTTGTTTTGGGGGGGGGGAGAAAATATATTTTATCAGACCAACTATATAGTTGAGAAAAAGATCTTTTAACTCCTTGTTATGGTTTTTAAAGACCTCTTCCACTTGAGTACCATTTTCACCTATATAATGGAGTTGTTAAAAGTTGTTTTATTTTGTATTTAGTTTAGGTGGTCTCTGCTTCTCTGGCAGATGTAAGGACAGAGCGGTAGAGCCTCCTCAGGGCAGGCAGGAGACAGCAGGTGGGCAGGGCGGCACCTTCCAGATCCCGTCGCTTATAAAGGCGTGTGTAGGTTACTGCAGGCACCGGGTACATGCCCTACAAAAACTTATAACTTCCTGAATTAGTCTCAATGGCTGCTTATACATGTGCTGGGAGGGAAGTGGGGGAGGCCTTTTAATTAGAGTAGTCACTTAAGTTAAAACACCGCAGCCCACGTGTATTTTAAAAATGTCCCGTGTGTTTAAAAATGGCCGCAGGACGCTTTATCTAAACCTCATCCCAGGAGGTTTTGTTAAAGCGCCCCACGGCCATTTTAAAACGTGCCAGACCTGAATCTGTGGGAGGCCGCAGCAAGTCCGCTCCGGCCTGCCCGGCCTCCTCCCGCGGCCTGCCGGGCCTGCCTCTGGCGCCCACCGGCCCCTCCACGGCACAGCTGCTCAATCAAACACATCGCCAGGCTAATCCAAAACAAAAAAAAACCCCTCTCCTCTCTCTGAAAAACAACCAACCAAACGAAACCGGTTGTAAAAATCAAAGGAATGAAAACCCGGGGCTTGGGGGAGGGCGGCTCCCTTACAGGTAGGGGGCGGCGGCAACAAACCCTTCCCCCTCGGTGCACTTGTGGGGATCCGGGCGGGGTCTGTTCCCCGGGAAGGGGAGTCTCCCCGCGCCGGGCGCCGAGCAAAGCCGCTTCTCGCCGCCG